TATGCACTGGGAGCTGGCGCTCCATTGATTAGTTAGGCAGCATCCACAGGATGGTGGCTCCTGGGGGAACTCCTCAGGACATCAATGAGCTGTATACTTCAGGGGACTGGGGAGACACCCAGGGGCTGCCTGCTGGTGCCTCAGAGGCTCAGAGTAAGGAGGGCGACACCATTGGTTCAAGTGAGTACAACTAGACCTGCAGCCTTCCAATCTGGTCCACCCTTGAAGGGACAGGCAGTGGTCCTCCAGAGGAAGGATGAAGGAAGCAGGAAATGACCAGGATATAGCTACAGCACTAAAAGGAAACCTAGGTCAGAGGCCCAGATTTATTTAAGTCAGCTTTCCTAAGAGCAGAAAAAGTAGCTACTGCTTCCTACTCAAGCTTTCTTCTGGGCAAAGTTGTTTTTGAGGATTTATTTATTTGTTGTTTGTTTTTCAATACAGGGTCTCTTTGTGTAACCCTGCCTGTCCTAGAGCTCGCTCTGTAGATCAGCCTGGCTTTGAATGTACAGAGATCCACCTGCCTCTGCCTTCCAAGCGCTGGGATCAAAGGTGTGTGCCACCCCTACCACCAGGCAATTTTTGTGGATTTTTAATCCCAGTGAGGAGGCTTTAAGGAACTTGCCTGGTAGAAAATGTAAGGTTTAGCATTTGAAGACAGCTTTTTTTGTTTTGTTTTGTTTTGTTTTGTTTTGTTTTAATTATGTGCATGGGGTGGGGAGTAGCATGCACATGGGTGCAGGTGCCCATGGAGGCTGGAAAAGGCATTAGATCCCCCTGGCTGGGGTTAAGGGGGTTATGGGCTGTTTGACATGAGTTTTTTAAATATGCGACATATGAGCTCTTAACTACTAGTCTGCCTCTCCAGTCTCTTGGTTTTGTTATTGTTGCTTGGGATAGGGTCTGTCCACCATGTAGTCCTGGCTGGTCTGGAACTTACTGTGTAGATCAAACTCACTCCTGCCTCAGCCTCTGAAGCTCTAGGAAGGTTTGCTTTCCTCCCAGAAGCCATCCTCTTAAAATCCAAGGGACTCTTTTATCCAGCTCCCTAGTCAGATTCCTACCCTCCTTAGATATAGGTCTGTAGGGGTCAAAGTCAGTGGAGGGGGAGTAAAGGGAACTGCAGTTCTCTTTATTTATTATTTACTTTTTTGAGACAGGTTTCTCTGTGTAGCTCTGGCTGTCCTGGAACTTGCTCTATAGACCTCACTGGCCTTGAATTCTGAGATCCACCGGCCTCTGTCTCCTGAGTGTTGGGATTAAAGGCATGTGTCACTACTGCCTGTCTTAAAATATTTATTTTTAAGTAAAAAATTTTTCTTAAAGATTTATTTATTTATTTTGTATACAGTGTTCTGCCTGCGTGTCAGAAGAGAGCACCAGATTTCATTATAGATGGTTGTGATCCACCATGTGATTGCTGGGAATTGGACTCAGGACCTCTGGAAGAGTAGTTAGTGCTCTTAACTGATGAGCCATCTCTAGCCCCTCAATTTAAAAAATTTTTATGTGTATGAGATCTGGAGAAATGCTGAGCAGTCTCTCTAGTCACTTTAGTGTTTTAAATTGACATCTATTTATTGTGTGTGTGCGTGTGTGTGCGTGTGTGTGCTTGCCATGGCACATTTCTGGAGGACAGAGGAACTTTTCCTTACCCGTCACTACATAGGTCCCAGGAACCAGATGCAGGTTGCCAGGCTCAGCTGCAAGTGCCGATGTATCTCCACAGCTCCGGAGTTGCTTCACTACTGGACAGTATGAAGCATGAGCCAGAAGGAGGGTGCCAAGGGCCTAGCCCTTCACAGGCCTGGGTGAGGAAACTGTGGCAGGTTACTGTGTTCTCCCAGGGTGGATGTGAGTGTTTCATGAGTCAAGGCTAGCAATGTGGTTGGTCTGATGCTAGGGCCTGAAACCAGGGGCCAGCACCTCATGTTTGGTTGACAGGAGGGCAGAGGCCTCTTCACACTCCTTCGATCACCAGCTGTTTGTTAAATGCCTCCCAGGTGCCAGACACTATTATAGATATTCACAATTTAGCAGAACCCAAAATAGCACTGACTCCTTGCTTTTGTGCACCTTAGTCCTCTAAATGGGAGACAGAGATGAACAATAATGTGGCACCCAGAGTATGTTACAGCGTGAGTGTCAGTGGGCAGTGGAATGCAGGAGAGATGGTAACCCCACGGGGTCTGGGGGCTGGAATGGAATTTTATACAATTGTTTTTAGATTTTGTTCAGTGATATGTGGGTGGGGGTATATCATGCCACGGAATTCATGTGGAGGTCAGAGGGCAACCCTATGAAATCTGTTCTCTCCTGCCTTTTTATTTATTTATTTATTTATTTATTTATTTATTTAGAGGCAGGGTTTCTCTGTGTAGCTTTGGAGTCTGTCCTGGAACTTGCTTTGTAGATCAGCCTGGCCTCGAACTCACAGAGACCTGTCTGTCTTTGCCTCCTGAGTGCTTGGATTAAAGGTGTGCACCACCACAGACCCAGCCTTTCTCTATCTTAACATGCCTTCTGAGGATCAAACTTGGGGTCCTCAGGCTTTCTGTGGGGCAAGTACTTTATTTAAAAAGCCACCTTGCCAGGCCAGCAATAGAATTTGAAATCAGGAGACAAAGAAGCTCTTTCTTGAAAGGACTGAGCATGGAGTCCCAGGGAAGTGCATGAGTGAGTGTTTGGTTCTCAGGGAAGTGTGCCAGGCAGTTGAATGGCCAGGGCTCATAACAGAGGAACCATCGTCAAGAATGCAGCAGGCAGGGACATGCAGGGGAAGGCCATTTTTAGGACTATCCTGAACACTTGGTAAGCCAGAATGTGCACAGTCAAGAACCCAGCTTCTCTGTGAGGTCCTAGGCTCATCTATACTGTGCTGCATGTTCGGGGCTGTGCCTGATCCCAGTGCTTGGGAGTGCCCTGTGGTCCCGAGGGGTGTGAAATGTCCAGTTTGGAAAGGAGTAGGGGAAGCTGTTGTTCCTGCAACACAGAACTGTAAAAAGCTAGTGTGGCCCCTGGCAAGCTGGGGCTTGCCTGCCTGCATCTTGTGGGTGAATTGGAGGTGGCTGGGGATGCCTTTGGGCTTGAAAGTTGGGATTTGAACAGGAGGGATATTTGAGAGGTAAAGCAGAGTAAATCGAAGGCAGACCTTGGCTGCTAGGATTAGGCAGAATTTCTGCTTGAGAGCAGTCTTCTGTCCTTCCCTCTCTTCTGCTGTCTCCCCTTAGCACTCAGCTGCAGAGCTGTGTAGAGGACTCAAATCTTGACATATGGGGGTGTAGGAAGGAAGAGGATCAGTCAACAGACAACTGTGTGGAAGAGCATCCTTCCGGGGGAGCAGATCTGGGAAGGAATATAGGAGGGTCCAGCTACCTAGTACCTCAGCAGGTCTGGGGTGTATATTAGATCTAGCAGCGCTTAAGCACTTCAAATCAGTATGCCTGGATAGCCGGGATACCCATGACAAGTTCCATAGTGGGAGGCTACGCATCCTGGGATGGGGGATGGATGACAGGATGAAGACGGGAAGCTGGGGCCGTGCACTGCAGATAGAAGTCTTGTTCCAAAGGGCATGCAATGTCCAGGAAGCGGGAGGAGAGTGGCTTTAGGTAGAGCTGGATGGGTTCCAGTCTCCAGACAGGCTGACCTGTGCTGGTCAGTGAACACCAAGGAGACCCCATTCCCTTTCTGGAAACCCTGGAATGAATGCCTGTTATCCTCACCAGAAAGGGTTAAATGAGCTAGCTCCCTAAAGAAGAGCAGGCCCACACTGGGAAAGCTGTGTCAGGTTGGAAGGTTTGGGGGTAGTGAAGACAGGACACATTGGTGCATGCTGTGTTAAGTTCAGTCTTGCCAGGGTGCCACTGCCTGGGCTCTGGCCTCAGGGGCTGACTGCTGCCTGGGCCAGCTGCCTCTGCTGAGGATTTGTGGCCAGAGTGACCAAGGCTTCAAGAGAAGTCAGGAATGTGGGCCTGTAATACAAAATCTGTCAATTGGGAATCAACAGACAAAAAAACAAAGCCATGCAGGCCCAAGCTCAACTGACCATCTGGCTGATGGTCCCTGCCTGGGCAAAGGTGGTACATAGAGCCAGTGTCCAGTTTACCACCACAGGGTCCTTCTGGAGGCAGCTCCTCTGCACTCTCTGCCTCTGGTCAGCATCTCCAGGACCACCAGAAGAACACCGCCATCTTGCTCAGCTGTGTGGGCCTGGGCACACCTCTTGCCCTCTCTGGGCCAAAGTATTGTGTCTTGTGAAGAGGCCTGGTCTATAGGGCTCCCAGCAATTTGGGGAGCATCTGGTTTAAATCCCTCAGCCTTGGGGAGAAGTTGAGGTTATTATGAAGTAACTCTTTAAGAGGTGTGCTTCCGGGATGGGATGAGGTGATCAGAGGTACTGTGTCCACAGTCACAGTTGTATGTAAGAGAATGTAGGTGTGTCATAATTTGGAGCTTTGCTTGACCCAGTGTATATATCATCATTTTAATAGCCTTGTGCTGGGACCTTTCATGGCTGTGTTAGAAGCTGGTGGGAAGCCTTCATTAACTCTCCCTTGACCTGAGGAATGTATGATCCTTCTTCCTCGTTTGCTATTAAGGAAACCCAGTCCTTGTCTGGAGGATGACATGTCTGAATGAGCAACTCTGGGCCCCCTGACTCACGTGTGTTTGGTGGGGGCAGGGGACTCAATGGGCGAGACTACTTTGGGATCTGAGGGCCTGCCACAGTGGAGCTGAGTGGCAGGGAGCAAAGAAAAGGGTCTGCCCGAGTTTTCTTTGGCTACCTCTCCGGTCCTTGATGCCTCTCCATCTCTATCCCCAAAGCTCCTGGCCAGTATTCTCCCCAGCCTCTGGGAGACTGAGTCCCAAATCTCTTTTTCAGTGCTAGGTGTATTAGCCAGCCTCCTGGGAGCTGCAGCTTTGGCTGGAGATAGGACAAAAAGGTCGGAGTGTAGGAAATACGAGTTTTGTGTTCCTCCTCATACAGAGTGGCAGCGTCAGCGCGCGCTCCCGGGGGCTGCGGGCCCTTTAAATCCTCCGGGGCGGCGGCGGCGGGCGGGGGATGACATCAGCGGGCGGGCCCGGGGCTCAATGGGAGCCACGGGGACGCGCGCGCGGGCCGGGAGCGCGCGAGCCGGCGGCGGGGGCGGGCGGCGGGAGGCGGCAGCGGCGGTGGAGCGCAGAGCCTGAGCCCGGCCGGGCCGAGCGCAGCGCAGCGGGCCGGGGAGAGGCTGGCGCGCCCGCGGCCCCGCGAATCCTTTGGCATCCGCCCCGGCGGGCTGCCCCGGCGCGGTGAGCATCGGGGGCCGGGGAAGCGGGGCTCCCTCCGCCTCTTTGTGTTTTCTTTTTGCGCGAGCGCGGGGCGGACACGCGCGTCCGCACTGGGCTGGGGGCGCCGCCCGTGAGGACAAAGGCGCGGCCGGGGACGCGGAGGGGACGTGCGCTTTGCAGGCCGCCAGCTGCACGGAGGCGGCCCCGGGCTGGGGTGGCGGGTGACCAGCAGCAGGGGCCTGGCCGGGGTCTCGGGGGCGCATGGGTTTTGGGTCGGCTACGGCCCCTTCTCTGTGCCTTGGGCTCCGGATCAGCGGGTGGGGGTACCGGGGGTCCTAAGTGATGGGGTGCGTGGTCACCCAGGCCACCGGCTTTGTTTTCCTTTGTGGCAAGAAGAAGGGAGGGGATTATTTATCGCCTGGATTCTCATTGCGGTGTGTGAGACAGCCTTGTGCTGCACGCCTCTGGGAAGCTGGGTGCCTGGGCAGAGCCAGGGCTCCGACTTAGGCCTGCACCCTCCCCCTACTTTGCCCAGAGTTTTCCCACATATTTTATGGCGTAACCTTCCCCTGGGAAGGGGTTCTGGAGAGAAAGGGTACAGTTCCGATGAATACTTGTGTTTGGGACGCCTTTCCTAGGTTTAGTTTTTTTTGTTTTTTTTTTTGTCTTTTTTTTTTTTTTTTTTTTTTGTATTTTGTTTTTTTTTTTTTTTTTTTTTTTTTTTTAACTGGTTCATTAACCAGGGTCTTGGCTCTGGGGAAGGCGGGTGGTGTGTTTAGGGGGCACTGCCTATGTGCCAGACTGGTTATAGTTAGTAATTTTTCTAACCAGCTGAGAAGTCTTGACTCCTCATGGCCACCTTTTTTTTTTTTTTTAACTTTGTTTACTGTGCCCCCCATCCTTCCCATAGGGGAGAGGGAGTGAATAATAGGAAAGCTAACCTGATTGCCTGAGGAAGCCCCCAAAGAAGTTCTTCTTGGGTGAGGGGCTTTTAAGTGGAGGAGGGTTGGAACAGGCTAAACTCTCTAAGACTCTGGCTCTCCAGGGTGGGTATACCCTGGCATTGGTGGAGTCCTGCAGGGTTGAGCATTTGTAGCCCTCTTCCTTTCTGTGTAGACAGTGGAGAGGGGCTTGTGGGGGTCATGTGCAGTATATTTATGTAAGACACCCAGACAGAGGGCACTGGTATTTATATAACCTGGCATGGGTGTTTATATAATATAGGATGCAGTATATTTATGTTCCTTTCCTAACCTGTGGCTTTCCCAGCTGCCATGTGTGGTCTCTGAGTTGGCGTTGGTGGAAACCCGGCTTGGGGGGGGGGTGTTTGTAAGTACACACCCAGCTCCCCCCTTTTCCATAGGGATCACGAGTGCGAGCCTCTGCTCCCGTCTTCCCTTGGCGGATGCACTTAAAAAACTGAACTATGTGTGAACCTGTGGTGCCAGGCTGGTGGGTTTTCAGAAGATGTGCGGTTCTGCTGTTGGCAACCAGGGCAACTGAGCTGAGTCCAGGCCAGCCATGTGGGCAAAGGCCCTTGATGGAAAGCCCAGAGTTTGGCTGGCAATCAGTGGCAGCTACTTCCTTGTGGCTGGCGAAGGGCTGTGGTGGCTCTCTGGGAACTAGAATGAGGCTGCAGTGTTGCTCCTGGCTTGGACCTTTTAGCTCTTAGGCTGAATCAAGGAGCCCTAATGAATCTCCTGGCATCCTTCTAGGCCTGGCAGCTGGGGGTAGGCTTGGCACAGGGAAGAATTGGGCCCCCAAGCAATCCAGCACAGCTACTGTCTTACCTTCTGGTTTTACTTCTCAAGCCTGGAGTGAATAAGTTCTGGGTAGGAGGCCACCAGGTAGGCTAGCCTGATTCCTGTTTGCTCCTTGTTGATATTCTGCTCTTGACTTGTTGCTGGATGGTGGTGGCAAGGCCACTCCAGGCTTGGGTTCCCATCTTCTAAAGGAGTCCCCTCTTGCTTGCTCACATTAGCTCATTTGTAAACAAGCGAGGTCTCAGGGACCACTTCTCCCCCATTTCATAGTTTGCCCTCCCCTGCCTTCCCATCTATCTTCTGGCAGCCCAAACTGACCCCAGTCTTTGAGTCTTCTCTTTTCTGGCCTGAAATACAGGTACCCAGACCTCTACCAGGCCAGTACAAGGGGTCCTGCCATGGTGGCTCAATTCTTGCTATCCATGGGCTTGACACATCAGGAAGGAGGGGGCTGCTCAGATCAGCCCTACAGGGACTAGTGACTTTTAAATCTGCTGTAGCAGGGACCTCTACCAGGAAACCCTCCCTCCTTGTCTTCAAAGTAGCTTGTATGGGAATTCACCCAAAGAGATGTGTGCAGAGAGGCCTAGAAACAGTTCTCTACATCGTGAGTAGAACCTGGGAAGCATTGTGAGGGACCTTGCCTTCCCTTTACGAATGGAGATCAGACCCTCTTGTATGGGGCCTACTGGAACAGTCCAGCCTAGCGAGCTGCTCAGGGGCAGGGATAGAGGTGGGTACCCTGTGCCCTCGGGAGTCTCAGTACTGAGGGACTCTGTGGGGCCCTTCCCTTCTCGTCCCTGGAAGTTGGAACTTGTTGGTAGTGGCTTTGATTTTCAGGATGGTCTGCTCCTCTGGGGCCCAGGACCTCCCTGGGGTCCTTTAGAGTGTATGCCTGTAGAGGGCATGTAGATGAAACACCACTGCTGAGCCCAAGATGCAAGACTTGGGTCTCCTGGCTCTTCCCTGCATCCCTTTGTCCTTGATCAAGTTCCTTTAGGGCTTTAGCCCATGGTAACCAGCCTCCCTCAGAGGAGGCTCACATTGGAGGGTCTGCTTGACTTTCTCCTCCTGGGCCTTGGCTCTGATACCACCTTTTCTGGACTAAGTGAGGCCTGTTGTAAACCTGCCTCAGCCCTGCCCAGGTGTGTGGGCATGAGGGCTACCTGACACCTGGCTGCCCTCGAGCAAAGTGAAGCCAGATTGCTTCCCAGACTGTGGGAGGGAGAATGCCAGCCTCCGGTGGGGGAAGGGTCCAGGCCCTCAGGTGCTCGAGGTCCCATCTTTGACCTGTTTCTGCTTCTCCTGCTACAAGGGTGAAGCATGGAGCTGCGTGTGGGAAATAAGTACCGCCTGGGCCGAAAGATCGGCAGTGGATCCTTTGGAGACATCTACTTGGGTAAGTCACTGGGTCTCTAGCTATGTATGGCCCTTGGGACAGCTCTGGGGATAGTAATGATGAGGAGGAGAGTCTGGGATTTGGGGATCTGGGGACAGAACTTTGCTCTGGTTGTATGGCTTGACTTGGAAGCCTCCAGGGTGATCCTAGATCCACAAGGAGGCTCAGGTAGTTGGGGATGACTCTCACAGCCCAGCAGGCAGGGCTTGGTAAGCTGCAATGGCAGAGGATATATATTTAGCAGATTTCCAGCTGCAGCTGACCTGGCTCTCTACTGGGGCGTGGGAAAGCCCTGGCTGGGTAGGCATCCCCACCACTTGGGTTCTGGCAGGATACTGATGGATAAAGCATGTACTATCATGAACCTCTGGGGAGGCTCCCAGGAAGTACAACCCCTCCCTTAGATGTGGCTTTCTGGAATGCAGCCTGGGGCTGCTTTGGGAGGACACAGGGAGAAGGTCTCATCCCTCTGGGAGCGCCCTGTCTTCTGGATGTGTTGCCTTTTTGAAATCTGAGTTTGCCCTAATGTCTTTTTAAGCAGATTGCTGACATCTCAGCCTTTTTGAGTCTTGTTGGCCTGGAGGGAGAGTTTGCTTGGTAACTGCAGAGATTGAGTTGGGAGTCTTGGAGTTGCTGGAATGAGATGGCAAGCCTCCTGGGTCATCCTTGGTGCTGCCCCTGTGCCCTCAGGAGTAGCACCCAGCTGCCTCATGTTTTGCTCCTTAGAGAATGAAAATCACTTCTGTCCTGGGTAGAGAGAATGTACAGATATGGGCACTGTGGTCATTAATTAGTCGTTGTAGGGTTCCTCTTCCCCAGGGGACAGAGTCTGTGACCCTTTGAGTATGAAGTCTTCCATTCAGTAAGCCTCAATGGGCAGGGGATGCACAGGCCTTCCTGGCTCTTACCTGCATGCCCCTTTCTGAACACTGTCACCCTCAAGGCAGCCCCAGGACTTCTGTAGCAGAAGGTGCAGTGTGGCTAAGGTGACTAAGGTGACTGCCGGGGATTGCTACAGAAAATAGCCGGGGTGGCCTTGGTATCACAGCTCTACCGAGTGCAAGGGTAGAAGACAGAATGGGAGAGACACCTGGATCCTAGCCCTTATCTTGTGCAGCTGCCCCAGGACCTCAGTGTCCCCCATCTGTGCCTCCAGATGATCAGGTGCTGTTGTAGAACACAAGTAAAGCAACCATGTAGTCCAGTTTCGAGCCTAACATCAGGTAGCTCACCATGCCCTGTAAACAACTTGGTGTTTCTCTATGGGGTGCAGTGGTGTGTAGAACCAGCTACTCCAGAGACTGAGGCAGGAAGGCTGCTTGAACCCAGGAGATAATGACTAAGCCATAACAATGTAGTGAGATAACTGTGCTCAGAAATAAGTAACATAAGATCAGGATCTTCTGGTTCCTCATTCCTGCCAGAAGGTTCTGGAGTGAGCTTATGTCTGCTCTCATCCCCACCCCATTCCAGCCTGTGAAAGCCTTGCTGTAGTAGGATAGGCGAGAGTAGGGATTGAGAACTGGGCAAGCTAGGTTCCTGATTCCACTGATCCTCATTTACGGTGTGACCAGGGCTGTCCCTTTCTCTGAGTCTGGCCTAAGTGTGAGGTCTCAGGATGTGTGTGTGCATGTGTGTGCAGCTCTTGACACATAGTCTGGCACCTGCTGTTACACAATGTCCTGTCCTGACCCCTGTTCAGCAGAAGGGATGTGGAAACTTGTGGTTGGAGAGGTACAGCCTAAGGTCACTCAGAAAGGCCACTGTCTCTGCTTCCGTGGTCTACCTCCTTGGGGGCAGGACTTCCTGTTTTTCTGTGGTGTTGCCTCAGTTATGCTGACTGCCAGGTCCAGATTGACTCCTGTTTGTGTTTGACCAAGTTGACCCTTGGTCTTTCCTTTGGCCAGCTGTAAACTCTGGTTCCCTGACTTCCCTGTCTGAGATGGAATTGTGAGATAAGGGGTAGGGCCATGCTGTGTGAACCTTTTGCCTGTGCTGGCATGGGTACTGTTGCCTTTATGCTGTGCCCACCTTCCGCTCTGTTGGGAGCTGCTGCTCTCTGAGGATCTAAATCCTCTGGGGGCCTAAGCAGAAGGGAGTTCTCCCTCTGTCCAGCTTTGACTGGGTGCACCTATGTTGGAGTGTGTGATAAGCACCTCATGTGTGATGAATGCCATCCTAGACCCCTATCTTGTGTGTGGGGGAGCAGTGGTGGCTGAAGGGCCTCTTTGAATGGCCTTGCTGGCACCCTTTGTTCAGAGTGCTGGCCACATTCTCACCAGGGTGTTGGGCCAGGGCCTGACTCCAGATGGCCTCTACAGGTGGTACCAGGCCAGGCTTCCACATCTAGCTTTCCAGGATTGACCTCGAGGAAGTCTTGGGATGGGAGCATTGTGAAATGCTTGTGAGCCTTGGCCCTCCTTCATGTCCATCCATATTCTCTTCCCTTTGGGGTCTAAGGTTAGCTGTGCACCTTGGGAGAACTCTCTAGATTTATTAAAAGGTGGGGAGGACCTCTGTGCCTCAAATCTGTAAGGGGTACAGCAGGTGGCTTTAGGGATGCATCATGTTTGTTTGAGGCAGGGTCTAACTGTGTTCTGGCTGGCAGGCCTTGACATGGGAGTTGAGTTGCTGCTGCTGTTGTTGGTTCTGCGGCTGACCAGCTCTGCAAGCCCCTCTCCCAGACTCTGTCTGTATAGGTGGGTGGCCATAGAGAGTTAAAGGGGCTGCTCATCACTCCTACCTGCAGCTTCTTTCTAGGTTCCTAGTCCATCTGGAGCCAAGCAAGCTCACACCTTCTCTATGTCCAAGATTGTTTTGGGGACCAATCGGTTCCTCCGTTTTGTTGCTGTGTGAAACTGTGGGTCAGGAGTCAGGTCATTTTGCATATGTAGCCCCTCATGGAGACGAGGCACCTGTACCAGCCATCTTGCCTCTGGTTGCCCTGCCCTCTGTACAGCACTCCTACAGAAGGTGAACGGAGTGTCAGGACAGCCCTACCGGCTCAGTGCTGTCCGCAGTCTCCATGAACTAGTGTGCTTGGGAACTGGAGTGCACAGAGAAGCTGGGGCTCTGGGAGAAATTTAAAATCCTGGCTCTGCTCCAGCCAGTTCTGTCTGGCCTAGGCCAGCCACTTAGCCTCCCTGAACCCATAGCTCAGTGGTTGGCAGGATTAAGGGAAGTCAGAGAAAAGACTGGATGCCTCCTAATGGGAATGGGACTGCCAAAAGCCTGGCAGTAGGGGAGGGACCCATCGGGTGGGGAGGGGAGATCAGAAGGCTTTGCCTAACAGCTTGGGTCCCGGGTCCTTGACCTTAGAAGTTGTGTGGCCTATGGTCATTCAACCCTTGTGTTGGGTTTTCCCTGTGTCTCTGCTGAGTCACCAGTGCTTATAGAGACCATCTCTGCCCTCTGCCTAGATATGGCCACCTTGCTGTGACCTCCCAGACCTTCCTTCCCTCCTCAATCCCTCCATCCCTTTCTTATACACTGGTGATTCTTGGTGAGAGGTGACTTTTGTCTTTTGGAGGGCGTTTGGCAAATTCTGAAGACATTTCTGGTTGTTAGAACATGGGTTAGGGGAGCGGATAACGGTGGCTTTGGTAGGTAGAAGTCAAGGATATTGCCAAACCCCTGTGGCAAGAGTTGTCTGACCCCAAATGTTAGGACTGTTGAGACTGAAAACACTCACTGCGTGTCTACACTGCCAGGGACCTTCAGCTACCCATGGCACTGAACCCCTCAGCTGCACCCTTCCCAATAAGTCCTTGTATATTCTGTGACCCTGGTGTGTGACAAAACCCTGGCCCTGTTCCAGGAGCTCAACAACCTTTTCTCTAGGGAAGTATTCCTTCACCCAGAACACTGTTTCCTCTCTCTTCCTTCACTCCCATGTGGGGAGTTGTTGCCCCCAATCACCTCGCTTCATCCCATTTCTGGCTGGGGTGGGTTGATCCTCATCAGCCCTCACTGTGGAGTGCTTGTTGTGCCCTGGGGCTCTAGACAGCCCAGCAAACTAAGTTTGGCTAGCAGTTTGCAGGAGAGGCACCTGGGCTCGGAAGTAGATTTGAGCCGTCTCTCCAGCCCTCTATGTTAGAAAATACAGTGGAGAGTAATTGAGGAAAAACTCCCAACATCAACTTCTGGCGTCTGCATGGACGTATGTATAAGTGCATACGTATACACTAATGATGATAGTAGTGGTGGTGGTAATGAGGCCACACATGGTCAGCAGGTAACAGGATCAGGACCTAGGATCTGATCCAGTAACTTGGCTTTTTAGCAGACAGGCTCCTGGTATGAAGCCCAGGATGGCTTCAAACTTACCATCCACCAGTCTCAGCCTCCCAAGTGCTAGGATTATAAATATGTACCATCACACTCACTCACAATCATTACATTCTCCTGCTGTTGGCCCATGGCAAGATGGGGTACACATAGGACTCCAGGTAATTCCAGGTCCCTTTTTGTGCCATAATTGTATGGCTCCACAGAAAACTGTGGGCTCTGTGACATGATGGCTGCTATGTTATAAGTACTTTATGCGGGGTGGTCATTAATTAGTCCTAGCACTAGAGAGGCAGAGGCAGGTGGATCTCTGTGACTTTGAGTCCAGCCTGCTCTACAGAGCAAGTTCCAGGACAGGCTCCAAAGCTACACAGAAAAACCCTGTCTCAAAAAACTAAAACCAAACAAAAGAAGTACTTTCGGGGGAGCTGGGAGGAAAATTAAGTATTTGAGGTCCTCACAAGCATCAGAACCTGAGCAACACAGTCTCCTGTCCCCTGTTCACACACAGTTTTTAAAAAAGCCAGGTGGTCTGGTCACCACACCCTTTTAATCCCAGCACTGGGGCTGCATAGGCAGAGAGATGGGACCTCTGAGACGCTCTGGGGTTATCTGTTTTTGTGGTGTGTATGGGTGTCTTGCCTGCACAGGTGTTTGTGCACTCTGTGTTGCAGTGCTTGAGGAGGCCACAGACGAAGCCAGGTCCCCTGGAACTGGAGTTACCAATGGCTGTGAGCTGCCATGTGGGTGCTGGGAGCCCCACCAGGTGCCTCTGGAAGATCAGTCAGTGTTCTTCACTGCTGAGCCCTCTCTCCAGCCTCTCTGTCTTAAAAAAATTAAGGTGGAGAAGGATTGAGGAAAACTCCCAACACCAGCCTCTGGCTTTCACGCACACAAATAATAATAATTGTAATGATGTAATGATAATAATAACTTTAAATTTTTTTAAAAGTAGTTTACAAACCAGTTTCCAGTTGCTACCTGGATTTAGTCATCTATTCTTTCTTTTATGTAGCTCAGAAATCAAAGTACATATGCAAAATTGGAGTAATATGTTAAGTGAAAGGAAACAGAAGACCACATAATGGATGCTTTCATTTCATTGAAATGCCCAGAATAAGCAAGTCCATAAGCAGAAAGTAGCCAAGTGGTCCCTTGAGGCTCCGGGAAGGAAGTTCAGGGGGTCATGATTACTAAAAGACATAGACATTTGAGGCAGTGTTGGATATTTTCTCAGATTGACTGTGCAATGGGTTATACAACCCAGTGAACATCTAAATAGTTTCACAGCACCCATGACTGTATCCCACAGTTTACATATTACATTTCAATAGAAGTACACAAGAAGCAATGCATAATAATGTGTCTGTGAAGTGCCCCCCCATCAGCCATTGTTTGTTCATGTGACTATAACCCAGCACAGACGCTTCCCTGTGAAAGAGCACAGAATAATGGTCTGGGCTTGGCTTTTCCACTTCCTGTATCTTGGAGAACTTGCACTGTTCCATGGAATGAGCTTCCCCCTCTCACCATTGCGTTCTGTTATGGATCAGCTATTCTTTATTTAGCCAGTCCTGAAAGATGGACATGTGGGTGGTTTCCAAGCTTTTGCTTATTGCCAGGCTCTTTTTACACCATACAAGGATGCTGCCTGATAGGGCTGGAGAGATGGCTCTGTAGTTTTGTACACACTCGATAGGCACTGTGGAGGCAGGGGTAGGTGAATCTCTGAGTTCCAGGCCAGGCAAGCTATATAGTGAGACTCTGCCTTCCAAAAGAGAAAGTAACCGGGCATGCCTCTAATCCCAGCACTAAGGAGGCAAAGGTAGGCAGATCTCTGAGTTCAAGGCCAGCCTGGTCTACAGAGTGAGTTTCAGGACAGCCAGGTCTACACAGAGAAACCTCATATGGAAAAATAAAGCAAGCAAGCAAGGAAGGAAGGAAGGAAGGAAGGGAAAAGAAAAAGTAAGAATTCATATTGTTCTTGCAGAGTACCTGAGTTTGGCTCTTAGTTCCCAGTACCCACAGTAGGTGGCTCACAATTGTATGTGATTCCATTCTGCTCTAGGGAAATCTAATGTGATACTCTGGCCTCTATGCCACCCTGCCACCCCAAACACATACATGTTTTTTTTTTTTGTTTTGTTTTGTTTTGTTTTGTTTTGTTTTCTGTTTTTTGTTTTTTTGAGACAAGGTCTTCCTATGTAACTTTGGCCAGCCTAGAACTTGCTATGTTGACCATGCTGACCTCAGAACTCACAGAGATCCTCCTGCCTCTGCCTCAGAGAGTGCTGGGGTTGAAGGTAGGCACCGTCATCCCAGGAAAAAATTAAAATCTTTAAGAAAAAAACAAAATTGAAGGAATGTCAGACAGCCTCCTAAAGTGGAGGTGCTGGTCACAGCTAGGCCACAGAAAGTCGCCTTCCGGCTGTGTAGGGAGGAGAGTCCAGGGGTCTGTGAGAAATGTAAGCATTGTGGGACTTCTAGTTGCCCTTTGCTCCCCCATGGGTACTGTCAGCTCACATCCTCCATTCCATTTCCCCTTGGGTCTTTCCTGTCCATTAGCTGTTTGCCTGTGATAAGAATTGTGTTTTTCTTTCAGCCTTATTTCTGGAGCTTTGGCCAGTGTGAAGTGTTCTGGGTGCTTTTGAAGGACAGGGAACATTTGACATTTCCCCCCTTACCTTTATTTGTGTATGTGTAAGCTTGTGTGCATGGAGGTCAGAGGACAACTTTTTGAAGTAGTTCTTCCCCTCTATGCAGGTCTGGAGATTGAATCCTGATCATCAGGCTTGGCAGCAGTCACCTTTACCTCCTGAGCCATCTTGCCATCTCCTTGAGAACACCCCCCCCACACACACACACCTTCCCCATCCCTCATCTTCTCCATACAATAACTACAATTCTCTCAACTTTTTACAAGGATCCACTTTTGACCCATCCTTTCCCTCCCTGCCTTCCTCCCTCCCTTTCAAATACGATCTCACTCTGTAGCCTAGACTAGAAATCATTATGTAGCTCAGGCTGGCCTGAAGCTCATGTGTAAGCCAAGCTGAACTTGAACTTAGGAAGTCTCTTGGTTCAGTTTCCTCATCATTGGAATTACAGGTGTGAGCCACCATGTCCAGGTTTATCTTGTGACTTCTTGAGCCATAGATTCTGGCTGAGAGCTAGGCCTTGGAGTGTGTAATTCCCTAGGTAGAACATCTTGCTGCCAGCTGTGAGAAGCCAGGAGGGGTTGGGGAGAAGCAGTGATACAGACCGGACCCCCAGGCCTAGACTCAGAAGCCAGGAGAACTGGGTTCACTCTCCATTTCTCCATCTAACCAAATGGCCTTGGCCAAGCCTGTTCTCATCTTTGATGAGAGAAGGTGCTGGGGTCCATTGTGGGGGTTGCCTTTGATGTAGAGTGAATTAGGCCCATTCCTTATTGAACTTCCTTCTACTAAGAATTGTCATGGGATATCCCTGGTCCAGAGAGTCCCACTAGGCTCCTGACCTCTTCTGTGACCTTTCATACCAAACACACCTACTGCCTATCTCTAAGATCAACTTATGTTTTTGGTGATTTACAAGTTTTTGTGTCATCATCATCCATCCCCTGACCCCTCCCTTTCAGGTGTCAGTCTAAGCAGCCTAGGGTGTATCACCACCTTGCCTTCCATATACTTGCCGTATGCTGTTCAGGAAGCCTCTCGAGTACCCAGTGGTCCCTCTCCCACACACTCTTGTTCCTCTGTGATCTGGGTTCTTTACAGCCTCACTGAGTGTGCCTGATGCCCAGACAGCCTCAGGCCTGAATCACTGCATCCTCAAATGCTGAATGGGTAAGGACCACATGGCCACTTGAGATTGACCCTGGTCCTTTGCCTCCTCTGACACTGGCAGGTGCCAACATTGCCTCTGGTGAGGAAGTAGCAATCAAGCTCGAATGTGTGAAGACAAAGCACCCACAGCTCCACATTGAGAGCAAGTTTTACAAGATGATGCAGGGAGGAGGTAAGGCAGTGACGGGGTTGCAGGAAGGTGCAGGATGGAGGGAAGGGGAGGCTGGGGGATGGCATGGAAGGTGGCTGGATAGCAGAGGCTGGCAGTCCTGGTGCAGAGCATGGAGAACACAATATAGAGGACATGGGTGGGGAGTGACCCTGACGAAGCCTCTTTTCCTTGAGCCCAGTGGGGATCCCATCCATCAAGTGGTGCGGGGCTGAGGGTGACTACAATGTGATGGTCATGGAGCTGCTGGGGCCCAGTCTCGAGGACCTTTTCAACTTCTGTTCCCGAAAGTTCAGCCTCAAGACGGTGCTGCTGCTGGCCGACCAGATGGTGAGTCCGCACCCCTCCAGTTGTCCAGGTGACTCTCCTGCTGTGTGAGCCATTGTGTGTGGGTCCTACATCCCACCTTTAGAGGTTGAGCCTGTTCTAGAGATCAGGGGACATTGACTACTCACTGTGGAGCCCTGGGGGTACCTTTTTAACATGTAGGTTCCAGGCTCAACTCCAAACCTGACTATAATTACTTCTCTGTTGCTGTGATAAACAAGCTCGAAAGCACCACAGCTCCACAGCTCCACATTGAGAGCAGTGGCACACACCTTAATCCCAGCACTCAGGAGATAGAGGCCAGAACAAGTTTCAGGACAGCCAGGGCTACACAGAGCAACCCTGTCTGTAAAAACAAAAACATGTGACCAAAAGCAACTTACAGAAGAAAGAATTGATTTGGGCTTATGGTTCCAGAGAGGGAGTCTATAATGGTTGGGAAGATATGCTGGCAGGAAGACAATTTCTTAAACTGCTATATGTACTGAGTCGCCCTTTTGGTAGCCCTTGGGCTGCTGCTCTGCATAGTTGTCAAGCTCTGTCCCAGTGCCTCACCTGAGGGCTTCAGCCACCTGGTTTTCCCTTTACCAGGTTGTCATGGGGATTAGTGCAGTGCTGTGCAATTGGTGGGGGGCTGAGGGTAAAGCAGGTGATGCACAGAGGAAACCCTTGTCAAAACCAGGCCACTTTTCCTCTTTGGTATGTCCACCCTGTCTTAGTTGGGGTTACTATCGCTGTAATGACCAAAAACAAGTTGGGGTGGGGGAAGGGTTCATTTGGTTTACATATCCTGAGTCAGTCTACTGTAGGAAGCCATGGCAAGGACTCAAACCTGGTAGGAACTTGAAAGCAGGAGCTGATGCAGAGGTCATGAATGGTGCTGCTCACTGGCTTGCTCCTCATGCCTTGCTCAGCTTCTTATGCCTGCTTCTTATAGAACCCAGGACCACCTGCCCAGAAATGGCACTACCCCCAATGAGCTGCCCCCCCCATCGATTATTAATTAAGAAAATGCTCTACATTTTCCTGCATACAACTTTATGGAAGCATTTTGTCAATGGAGGCTCCCTCATCTCTGATGACTTTAGCTTGTGTCAAGCTGACATAAACTAGCCAGCACAACCCCCTTTCCTTGAGCACCCTATTTCTGTTAGGACCCTGCTTAAATTGTGTTAAAACTGCTTCTTTGTGTGTGTACATGTATGCATGTATGTGTGTGGTACCTGCATGTGCACTTGTGTGTATGTGCTCATATATACATGGGAGTGTTTGCATGTAAAGGGATAGGGTACAAAGTTTGACACTGTAGATCTTTGGTTGCTTCTCGCTTTGTTTTTAAGATGTATTTAAAAAGCTGAGTGTGGGCTGGGTGGTGGTGATACATGCCTGTAATCTCAACACTGGGAAGACTGAAGCAGAAGAATTACAGGAAGATCAAGGCCAGTCTGCATTACAGTGTAAAACCCTATCTAAAAAGCAAGGAAGAAGCCAGGCGTTGGTAGTGCACACCTTTAACCCCAGCACTCGGGAGGCAGAGGCCAGTGGATCTCTGTGACTTCGATGCCAGCCTGGTCTACAGAGCTAGTTGCAGGATAGGCTTCAAAGCCACAGAGAGAAACTCTGTCTCGAAAAACCAAAAAAAAAAAAAAAAAAAAAAAAAAAAATAAAAAATAAAACAACTGCCATGTCTATGTGCAGTGACCTTCTGTCTTTTACCTCCCGTAGATTAGCCGCATCGAGTACATCCACTCCAAGAACTTCATCCACCGGGATGTGAAGCCTGATAACTTCCTCATGGGCCTGGGGAAGAAAGGCAACCTGGTCTACATCATTGACTTCGGCCTGGCCAAGAAGTACCGTGATGCCCGCACCCACCAGCATATCCCCTACCGGGAAAACAAGAACCTGACTGGTACTGCCCGCTATGCCTCCATCAACACCCACCTGGGCATCGGTGAGTGAGCTGGGCCTAAGCAAGCATATGGTGGCTGCTGGCCAGGATGAGCCTATGTCCCTACCTGGGTTGGCAACCCCAGGGATTTTTCTGGTGAGCCTCACTGAGAAGATCCCCACCCTGTCTGGCCCAGGTCTGGACTTGTTCCATATGGACCCCTTCATACGCAGAGCTGTGTGTATTTTGTCTGCCTTGGCAGTCCTCTTGAGTGGGTTGGAGTTTCCCCATTTGTACATCTGAGAAATGCAAGCCCAGAGGTTTAACATGGCTGTTTTAAGGTCATGTAGCTTAATGAATTCTGGAGCTGGATTTAACCAAAGCCCTGTCTCAAACTAGAGTATGAGCTTTAAGCAGGAAACAGACCAGGCAAGGGGGTGGTAGGTGCCCACACACAGTTGTTGAGTGAAATAATGCCTGGGCTAGTAAAACTGGCTAGAACAGACATGAGAAAGCTCTGCCTTGGGCGGTCCAGAGGAGGATGGTGCAGCAGTTACAACAGTGTCCAGGAGCCAGTGAGCACTGAGGGGTGGGGAGGGGGGTGCACAGTGAAAATTGCAGCCTGACTGGCCTCTGACCCGTGACCCCTGGCCTCCTGACCTGTGCAGAGCAAAGCCGTCGAGATGACCTGGAAAGCTTGGGCTATGTGCTGATGTACTTCAACCTGGGCTCCCTGCCCTGGCAGGGTCTCAAAGCCGCCACCAAGCGTCAGAAGTATGAGCGGATTAGTGAGAAGAAGATGTCAACGCCTATCGAGGTCCTCTGCAAAGGCTACCCCTGTGAGTAGCTGGCAGGCATAGCATTTCTTTCTAAGGGCGTGGGGCTACTCCTGACCTTGACACCAGAATGTTTATGACTGTCTCTCACTAGAGTCTCACTGCCTAGGAGCTAGCTGGGATACCTGAACCCCGGCACCCGGCTCCTATATACCAGGTGTCTCTAGCCCCAGCTCTTACCTTATTCCAAAGCTCCACTCTCAGTCCAATGGTTTGAAGAAGTGGAAGCTGTCTTCTATTGGCTTAGGTCATAATGGGGCTCTGCATCCCATCAGGCCCTTGAACAGCCTTTGAGTTTATGGCAACTGTTATCCTGCTGGCTGTGGCTTTAGTGCTTGGTCGGACAAGTGGCAAACTGCGCACCCAGCTCCACAGCTCCTCTGCTTGGAAGTGGGCCCTGCTCTGTTCATTTTTCATTCTGCACATCTTAGATTGATACTGTTGCAGGGACACTGGGTGCCTAGAACAGTGGTGGCTGCTGAGGCTCCTGGGAAGGTGTTCCTCACAGTGGCCTCTTCTGTCCTTGTGACCCACCAGCCGAGTTCTCAACATACCTCAACTTCTGCCGCTCCCTGCGGTTCGACGACAAGCCTGACTACTCCTACCTGCGCCAGCTCTTCCGAAATCTCTTTCACCGGCAGGGTTTCTCCTATGACTACGTCTTCGACTGGAACATGCTCAAATTCGTGAGTCACCGGCAGGCCAAGGAGGGCTTGGGGGACTGGACAGGGCAGGCCCTGACTCATAAGGCCAGAGTGACGTGGTGGGGGGCAGGGCTCCCGTTAAATGGGAGGTATGAGCTGTTAAGTGTGAGTGACCTTGCAGGGGTCCCAGAACCCCTCACCACCAGCTACTTTGGTGTAGATAGGGTATGCCTCCATGGGGGACAGGGCCCAGGGAAGGCACTACCACCTGCCAGGTGGCAAAGGATCAGGCCTGGCCTCCAGTCCCTCTTGGATACCTGTGGTGTATGGATGGCACTGGCTGGACGCCCTGCTGTCTTGATGGCTGTCTGCACTTTCCTGCTCCTCTTGTTTGTATCCCAGACTGCAGCCCTTTCTGAGGCCTCTGTGGCCAACCTGGACCCTGTCATAGTGGCTTCTTTGTCCCTGATTATAGGACCCTGGGTCTTACTAGGCAGCTGGTCTATCTCCCTCTTTTAAGGGTCCTAGGGGTGGGTTAGGAAGAATCGTTCACCAGTCATGACTCAAGCACTGGAATCCGTGAAATTGTATGTCTTGTTTCACATCTCTTCTGGAAAAGGGGGCTTCCTCGAGCCAGGCTCAGCCCCAAGACAAGGAAGCTCTTGCGCCACCCTGTCCCCGCCCTTGGCCTTGCGCTGGGCCGGCATACTCACCCACTTACTGGTAAGGACCTTCCAAGGCCTGGCCTTTCTTTCCAAGATTTGCAACGTAGTCAGTGAGCATGAGGGCCTCAGCTGTGCTCTCTCTGTCCTTTTCAGGTGCCCGGCGCCCCTGGGCACCCAAGGACCCCCAGATAGGCCGGTAGAGGAGGTGGACCAACTGCCTCCCCAAAGATACTGGCCTGTGGTCTGGACTCCAGGGCCCCAGTTCTGACACCGCCAGAGCTATCTCAGCCCATCTCAGCCAAGCTTGAGGAAGCACCCTGTGGGATGGCGGGGTGAGACCCTGTTCCAGAGAGGTGGCTGTTCAGTGGAGAGGGTGACAGAAAAGATCCCACATGGGATTTCTCAAGAATGAACCAGCTGCCTGAGGGCTAGGACAAGCCTGAAGAAGGGATAGTGACGTTGCCTGGGAGGGGCTTGGTGGCACATCACAGGACCTTGTTCCATCTGGACCTCATCGTTGGCCTGTGTATTGATTCTGAGCTCATTAAACACTTCCCTTCCCTTCCCGTCGTGTGCCTCTCTTTTCACAGAGTGGCCCTTGGCCTGCTCTATCCAGTGTCAAGAATGAGCATAGATCTTGTCCTCTGAACACCAAGATGAACACAATTATTTTGGGCTCCTCTTCTCTCTAGGCCATAGTCAGTGGCCTAGGCCTGTTTTGTTTTGTTTTGTTTTATGAAGCCTCACAGGCCAGGGACCTTGGGGACAAACTTGTGGCTTTTATTTATCTCTGGGGCTGGAGTGAAAAGTGGGCAGGGAAGTTCTGCCCAGCTCAGAGCATGTTGGTTAAGGGCTTGGTCATGGGGCTAGCTCTTCTTGTCAAGGCTGCCCAGAGTGTTGGGTACCAGATGTGTGCTACAGAAAACCAGCTGAATCCAGTCTGAGGATGGGCTTGTGTCCTTTTCCTCAGTAAAGCTTGAAGAATGGATTTTGTGTTCTCTAGGCCAGTGCAGCCTACTCTAGTAGACTCTGGCCATGTAGTGCTGACTTTTTCATTCACTAAAATTATTGGAGATGGACACTGACTTCTCAGTCATCCACCAGATTGCACTCAGAAAGTCATAAGTGGCTGCTCCACCCACCGTGACAAATGTGAACATTGGTTATTCTGGGAGGTTCTATGGACAGCTGATGGAGATGCTTCCTTCACAATGCCCCTTGTGTTACTGGCCAAACTGACAAAATTTCAAACTTGGCCAGATGTGCCCTCCCTGCCCCATTGCTGCTATCCTGATCCCTTCCTTGGAGTCATCTTGGAAGTAGACTCTAGAGGTCAAAGGTGGACAGCCTTTTCCTCCACCATGTGTGACCTGCATGGCCAGCTCCATTACCAAGAACATCTACAGGACACACATCAGAAACTTTCACAGCCATCACTCCAAGACCAGCCTTTCCCACCTGCCCTGCAATAAACAAACCATTACCACTACTCTACAGACAGGGCTCCGTGAGCAACAGACTGGAAAGATCCACTTCACCTTCCATATTCCACCTCAGGGGAGTGGAGTCCCCCAGATGCTTGAAGCCTGGGATGTCTCTCTGAGAACACAGCCACTGTTCTAGCCAGGAAGAGATGCCATACCACCAAGGACAAGGTCTGCACAGTAGAGCCAGACATTTGTGTGACTTTGACACTGTTTTCTTGTGGGTAATAAAGGCCATGAAAACTCTCTGATGTGCATTTCTTGATGCGTCCATTGCATTGGGTAGGTAGAAACAGGGTGAGGGACCAGGTCTGGCCTGAGCCTGCTGGAGATGCTGGGACCCCAGCCATCCACCTGGCTATTGATGGCAGAGCTCTGTGCCCCTTGGTGAAGCTCTTAGCCTCACCAAACCTCAGTTTCTCGACTAGCAAAAGCTGAAATCATTGCTGCCACAGGAGGGACTGTTGAGTGCAACAGCTCTTGTTTCTCTCAGGTTGGGCTGTGTCCCAGCTGAGCCAGGCAGCCAGTGAGTGGGTGGGACTCGAGCAGTTCTAAGCCCTGGTTTCTGAGTAGAGGGCTGGGAAAGTCCAAGGCAGGTCTCTGAACTGTGTCCTTTTGTGGGACAGAATGGAACTCAATGGCCAGACCATGTTTAGTCCCAGCTTTGTATTGACTGTGTAACTTCAGCCAGGTCACAAGGCCTCTGACCAGGCTGAGTAAGGACAAAAGATGTCAGCACTTCCCCTTCATAGGGGGCTCCAGAGCAATGGGGGTGATGTGGGGATGTGCCTGCTGGTTTGGCTACCCCATTAGGACTCAGGGATCATTCTGAATCAAGCCACTCCCTCCAAGGGTCCCTGAAGACAGCTCCCTCCCCACTTCCCAGAGCACTGGACTTCTAAGTACCTATAAAGACATGGGTTTGCAGAGCCTATACCCCATGGCCCATGAGCAGGGTCCCATCTCAGCCTATAGCTCTCTCCTCCACAGATGCGGCCCCCCTTCTGCCAGCCCCCTGCCCTTCCCTGTGGACGGCCTCAGGACCAGCTAGGTAACTCAGCCAGGCGCTGCTCCTACTCTGCCTTTCTTTCTGGTCCTTTCTCTTGTACTTGCGGTTTCCACTTAGAGGACAGGCCCTTGGGGCTTAAGGCACCTTGTCTGGCTTTGCCTAAGGGCTTCTTTGCTCCATGGAACATCTAGCCTGACTTCTTTTATCCCCTGGGCTTCCAAGAAACAGCATTTATGGGGTCCCCTAGGTCTTTTGGCTGTCACCCCATAGTAGGAGTAATGCCCAGGTCTGGGAGCCAAAGAAAGGTGGCTCTGTGATTGGGGACCAGGGGACCTTGGGATAGTCCTGGCTCTGTTTTCATTAGAGTTGTGACTTTGAACCTGCCTTTTCTTCTCTAGCCTGTCTGTCAGCTAGCTGGGCTTCTGAATGCCCCTCCTGCTTGGTTGGACACATAGGGAAGGACCAACAGGTAGCCTTGGCCATCCTGGAGATATCAGCCTCGTCTAGCTGAGCTTTCTGTTTCTCTGGCAGCTTCCTCTTCTAGGTGTTGGGTGGCTTGGTCCCTGTGCACTGTGGTAGAGGGTAAGCTCTAGCGTTCTTAGAGTATGGGAAGGAAGGTAGAACTAGTTTTCTGAGCTTTCTACCTACCTCTTCCCCCTGCTCTGCCCTGCTGAGGTTCTGGGTGCAGTACAGCATCCTCATAGAGCTGACTAGAATCTTCTCTCTCTTATAGGGTGCAGCCCGGAATCCCGAGGACGTAGACCGGGAGCGACGAGAACACGAACGGGAAGAGAGGATGGGGCAGTTGCGGGGGTCCGCGACCAGAGCCCTGCCCCCTGGCCCACCTACGGGGGCTACTGCCAACCGACTCCGAAGTACAGCCGAGCCTGTGGCTTCCACCCCTGCCTCTCGCATCCAACAAGCTGGTCAGTAGGGGCCTTGAGCCTCGGGCTGTGCCCAGGGAAGGTTAGGGAACTGCTTATGCCCATACTGAGGGTGGCTGCTACCCTCCTTCCAGGCAATACTTCTCCCAGAGCGATCTCACGGGCCGACCGGGAGAGGAAGGTGAGCATGCGGCTCCACAGAGGTGCACCTGCCAATGTCTCCTCCTCAGACCTCACTGGGCGGCAAGAGGTCTCCCGGATTTCAGCTTCACAGGTGAGCTACCTCTTGGTGAGCCTCTCCGGGACATAGAGGGCCTAGGTGTTCCTGGTGTTGGTCTAACCTTGTGGTCCCCCCCCCCATACCCCTTCCCTCCACACACACACACCTTACTCTCATCACCCTGGAGTTAATTAGCTCTTCTTCCTTGAGCAAAGTGAGAAACTGAGGCTCAGAAATAACTTGACCCAGTAAGCAATAGTATTAACTGCCAGGACCCAGTCTGGTGAGTGACAGGGGCCGCAGAAACAAATCCTTACATTCCCTGTTGAGGACGCCCTCAGTGGTTCCCATCAGCACTGGTCACAGCAAGGGATATGGGAGGAAGGCAGGGTGATCCTGTCAGGTGATCCCACTTAATGCCCACGTTTGCACTCAGAATGTAAGGGAGGGCCTTGGCAGAGATAGACTTACCCCTCCTGCCTGTGGGAGATGAGCCTCTGTAGACCCAGACATGGTGTTGAACCATCCTTGGCCTCTGATTTGGGTGTGACCTACAGTGGTCCCTTTGCTTCCCGGAGTACTTCTAGCTATAAAGCCAGGGGCTCTGGGCAGTGGTGGTACAACCTTTAATCCCAGCACTCTGGAGGCAGGGGCAGGCAGATCTCTTAAGTTCTTTGTAGGCCAGCCTGGTCTACAGAATTACACAGAGAAACCCTGTCTTGAGAAAAAAAAAAAAAACCTGTGGGCAACCTCTGACCCCTAAGATCATACAGCCTGCCTTCAGATTAAACGCTGTGCTGTGATGGATAGTTCTTAAGGTGGGGATGGGGAGATTTGGGAAATCACTTTAGCCAGCTGCTTAAGGACTTGACCTGATTCTTTCCCCTTATCTCTCTGGCTCCTCTTGAAGACAAGCGTGCCATTTGACCATCTTGGGAAATGAGGAGAGCCACCACCGACCAGTGTTTGCTTAGGTGAGTGCTGCTGTCCGCTGGGGTCCCTAGTAGGGAAGGAAACAAGTGTACATGGAGTAGAGTGAGTACAAGTGGCACCAAGGGCCTCCCCTTCCTGCCTTTCAGGCTGTGGCTTCTTAGAGACAGTCCTGAATCTGTGTACTCCAACTTCTAGAAAACCCTTTTCCAGCCCTTGGTTCTTCTGCCCTTGTGGCTCTGAGGAGAGACCAGGGTACCAGCCACAAGTGGGCTTTAGCCTAATTTTGCTTTTTGACTGTTATTTAAGCTAATTTGTACAAAGCCAAAAAGGCCAGAATGTAGAAAAGGCCTTGGTGCTTTTATATCCAGGAAAGGCCCTCTGGCCAAGGTGGGTTAGGGTTAGACTGCCTGAGGCTTGGGAGGCAGTAAGTAGTAAAATACCCATTAGCCTGCTTTGGGAGAAGGGTCCACAGGCTCTTAACATATAGTCTGTTCAGGCCTTGAGGATGGCTGCTTAACCCACCAAGACAGAGCAGCACTTTGGTTCCCCATCTTGGGATGGCAAAGCACTGTGTGCTGGGCCTGAAACCAGACTCTGGGCTCCAAGTGGGACAAGGAAGGGATCTGGTGGCTGGGTAGACCAAAGCAGCCAGACCCCAGACCAGTTGTCTTTGTTTCCTTTCCTAGTGTCTTCGCTGCATTTTCTTAATGAAACAAAACAAAATAAAACAGAGGACAGAAAGAACCAACCACTCAAATGAACAAAAAGGAAAAAAAACACAACCCAGCACAGAGTCGACAATGGATTTTGTTTCTTTGATTTATTTTTCCAATGGCAAAAAGACAAAATTGTCCTTATCACTGAGGATTCCTGTTCCTTTACGTTGCCCACTGCTCCCAACCTGAAGGCTGCCAACACTCCTCTAATGACATTGGGTCATGCACCAGCCCCCTGATCCTACCACCACCCACCACATGCTGGGCAGCTGATGGAGGTGCCTGAAGAGCTTGCGTCAGGGAGTGGTTTGCCAGTCACAGACAAGTCCCACGAGATTTCGTGAACCTCGGATCCAAGGAGACACACACACACAGCTGCAGCCCCTTGGCAATGACAGTGGCCAGCTTTGTATTGGGCTTCCCCAGAGTCCCCTTGAGCATCCTGGTCCCCCTTCCTCCCCTCCCGTCACCTCTCTGCAGAGACCTTGAGGGAGCAGTGAGGTGGTGGCCATGACGCCTTGTGTGTGTATGAGTGTGAATGTGTGTGTGTGGCCTGTATTTTCCCAGAGCAGCAGTTGGCCTGCCATCCTGCCTGGCCAAGTTTCTGTTTTTGTCCCCCTAAAGTCAAGGTGGGGTGGACAGTGACCTCCACATCCCTCAGGGCATAGAGTCCTTGCTACCACCTGTTCCCAGATGCCAGTGTGTGGCAACCCCATATTTCTTCCATACCTGATCTTAAGGCAAGTTCACAGAGTCTGTTCCTAGTTGGCATTGGCTCTGGCTTACCATTTAGTTCCCTGGTCCTGACAGTCACCTGTGGTCACCCCTCTTCCCAGGCCTGACTTCTGAGTAGGACCCTGGGGCAGGGTTAAGTGTTGAATTTACCCTTCCTGGTTAACACCTGGTTTTTAATTTTACTTTATTTTTGTTTGTTTTCTCGGTGTGTGTATTTCCTAATTTATTTACCTCTTTTTTCCCCTTTCTTTTTTTTAATTAAAGAGCAAAACTTTTTATTACTTTGTAATTTAAAAAACTGAAAAAAAAATTACTGAAGAACTTTGGGGGGAATTTTGTACTTTTTTCCTGTGTAAATATTGGACTTTTTTGAGCTTTATTGTGGTTGTTAATTTGAAGTAATAAAGTAGAAAAGGACAAAGTGATGTTAGACCACCCTTTGTGCACTCTTTGCTCTTGGGTCTCTACTTGGGACAGCACATTAGAGGGAACGCACTTGCCTCAGAAGCAGCTGTGGCAGTCTTATTGTGACCTCGTGTCATGTGGTACGTCCTGGGCCAGGTGGTGGTGCACTGAGGAGGCAGAGGCAGGTGGGTCTCTAAGGTTGAAGCCAGCCTGCTCTACATAGTTCCAGGCTAGCCAGGACCTCATGTGAGATCTTGAAGATAAATAAATTTAAAATATATCTACATACATATGTGTGTGTGCATATATATATATGTATATATACATATGTATATGTATATATG